TACTAGGCCTAATATTTTTTGTTTATGTACCCAACATTGTTCCTTCATTAAAACGGCTGACTTATCAACTGGGAAAATCGGTATACGCATATTATATCTTTTTGTCAATATATTATTTGGTTACCTTTCATATTCTGTCATTCGTTGTAAATTATGATCTTTTTTCTTTAAATCATTTGGATAGATGGACATTAAGCTATCCTGTATGACTTTCCTTTACATTTTCTAAAGGAACAGAATTTGATAGGACTTATGGTGTTTCCTGAAAAAACAGAATAAAGTATTTGGGATATATTTTTGGCGTTAATTAATACATTAATCATAGCTTAATACACTATGTCATTAACTAACAAAACCATATAAATACTCTTATCAATGCCCTCTAGAACGACGCCTTCTAGATCTCAAGGCACATTCTAGTACCCCGTTAATAAGATTATTAAACTTCACTATAAAATATTAATGAATATTTTCAACTAATACTAATATTATAGTTTAACACACCGTGTCACTAACTAACAAAACCTTTTGTCGTTTTTCACCGGTGCCATCTATAGATCGACATGCCTTCTCGATCTCACGGTACATTCTAGCACCCTCTTTAATAAAATATTAATAATTTCACATTATTAATACTAATGTTATGTTTTAATACACCTTATCACGAAGTAACAAAATTCTCCTAACTCCCCTAATTAGATTGTTTATTCCACTTCATTATAATATAATAAATAAAAGATAAATGTCCCGAGACGTACAATTTTTTTTAAGCACCGGGCACCATGGGGGTTGATACGACCTCTGCATTTTCAAAGCCCGTAAAAAATGCACTTAATTAGTATGATTATCAACGAACACTTACAATCAACAAAACCTTCTAAGCTGTTTTTCAACTCTGCCGACTAGATTGACTTGCCGTCTAAATTTCATGACACATTCTAGCCAGCACACCAATGCATACATACCAGTTACAACATACGTATGTAATTAACATTGAAGCTCTAGCGCAAGATCGAATAATTAAAACAAGTATAATTAACTTGGTGAAAAATTTGATTTTGTTCTTTTTTATTATACAAGAAATGAATATATATGCGGAGGAGTTAATTTTCTTTGAAGAAGTGTCGGAAAATAGTTGAAAAAATTGAAAGCATTTAGACACGTTCGTCATTTGAGTGATAATTACGGTTTTCGCACAAAATGAAATCGGTCAAGTTAGGTTAGGAGCTTTACAACTAATTCAAATATTTTTTTGAAATTTGTGAATCAACTGCTCAGGGGGTGTCTTGATGAACTTGAAGTCATACCTTCCGTTGTTTGTCGAATTTTGTCTTTTATTATTTTGTGATAATAACTGCCTTCCAAACTAAAACAATAAAAACGTTATGGCGTAAATCGGGCAGCAACGGGCAAAATATGTGATCGATCGGACATTAGCTTCTCCAAAAACGTATTTTTTTCATGTTTCGGTACACTTTTCTGAAAATTATTACATTGAAACGATTCTTGTTTCAAGAAGTCGAACAATCAATAGGCAAACAAGCGTAGCCAACCATTATTTAAAAAAACACCCAATAAATAAGAAATGTTTTATTTATTTATTTATATGTACATATAGATCAATGATCCTTTTACAAAGAATATACATCACGAAATTATAAACAATTTACGTAGCAGATAAACAAAATTAATAAAATAAAAAGAACAAAACAACAACAAACATTAATAATAACAAACAATAAACTATATTTATGTAATAATATATTTGGTATAATAGAATAATTATATAATTATATAATACAGCTATATTTATTTGAAAACAATCTCTCTAAAATTATGGCCTTTAATTTACGTTAAATGTATTAAAATTTAGATGAAAAAAATCAAAATTTTGGATATATCTCATTTCCTGCTCTCGTTATTCTATTTATTGGCGAATAAAATATGTAGTTTGTTTTACAAAAGGTACGACATTGAAAGTGGCACATGAAATTAGGTCAGCACACTTTAGTCGCCCGTTGATTATATTGTAAAGAAATAATAGATCAAAAAACAGCTAGAGCTGGAAGATTATAGAGAGAAAAAAATAGTTCTGAGGGTGAAAGGAAAGAAAATCGAACATGAAGGATTTCAATAAGTTTATTTTGAACTTTCTCTAAAAATTTCTGTTCTTGAATAATCTCAGAATTAAAATCACGTGTTACATTATAACAAAAAAAATTTATTCTGTATAAAGTATTTTTTATAAAAAAAGAACTATATTGGTTCGATTAAAAAAGAATAAAGCAAAACTATTCTACCCATCTACATCTAAAACGATGTAATAACTTACCTATCTACATTTTCAAACTAGTTTTGACCTGCACTTGATACAGTTTTGAGAGTTAGAGGTAGAATCACAAGACCGGAATTTAGGAAAGATAGAACGATTAAAAGAGTAGTGATTTTTTAAAATGAAATATGCAATTTACTTATATTAAACCAAAACCTTGTCTGCGCAGAATGAGGCAGGTCCCACGGAATTCTGAGCATTAGAAGTACTTCAATAATATTTTGAAAGTTGCGAATCAAGGTTTTAGGGATGATGAACTCGTCAAAAAAGCGTGAAATATTGTCCCAATTTTAGGTTGTCACAAAAAAATAATGATTAACCATTTTTAGTAAGCTATTATATAGCATTTCGTAGGATAGTAAGACAAATACAACAATACAAAAAATTGGTTGTAATAGACCAACAGATTATGAGAAAATGGTACCGAACATGGCTAATTTGTCGCTTCGCTTTGAACAACTATATGACCTTAAAAAATTACTCAGATACGTCAAATTTTAAAATCTGATACTTAAAAAGAAACTACATGCGTTTTTGAAAAGGAAATACTTATCGAAAATATAAGCCGTCTAGCTGAAATAGAGTAACCGAAAATAATTGTAAAAAATGTTCAATCAGAAAATCACTTCTGCAGAAAAGTATTTTTTCACAATTCGGTACACTTTTCTCCAAACCCCTTTACCATATTAAAAAGATTCTTGTTTTAGTTTGAAGAGCAATGAGAGGCAAACAATCATTGCTAGCAATTATTACAAAAATACCCAGGAGAGGAGAAATAAATTTCTTTTCTACGAATAAAAGGTGTACAGTTTTGTCACAATTTTAGATTGTCGTAAAAAATTAGCAATTTAATATTTTTAAAAACACTTTATCTACTATATCATAGCATACTAGGAGCAATGAAATTTTTTTGATAAAGAAATGGTGTAAAAATTAGTCACAAATTTAGGTTGTTGCCAAAAATAAACGATTCCTAATTTTTGAAAGCCTATCATCTACGATTTTGAAGAATACAAATACAACAACGCGAAAATATTGGTTATAATGGAACAAATACATTTTGAAAAAATGGTACCGCAAACTGGCAACTTTTTCGGCTTCTCTTTGTACCTCCAACCTTGAAAACTGAAATACAGTAAAATTTAAAAGTTTAATGCTTAAACAGACTCTACAGGCTACTTGATCTCTCTCTCACTCTCTCTCACTCACTCTCTCTCTAGATAAATAAATGCATATGGAAATTAAAATGCATCGAATAGAAATACAGTTAAAAATAAAGAAATACGACCCAGTTCGAAAAACGGTCGCTACCCTTTTAAGACCAACAGTTTTTTCTTAGCCGCGAGCAGAACAAATCATAATCAATCTAGTCGTCGGGAGTGAGGAAAATAACTGTTAAATTCTGTCTCGCAAAGATGTCAGACTCTGAAATACATCAAAACAGGATTTTATTCAACTAGACAAAAAATTCTACTATATGGCAGGATCGATGAACCAACGAGATCATACAGAAATCTCTATCTCCTCTGAGGACAAAAAACATTTTTCGGTCTTGAAATGAATGGTCGAGTTTTTTCTCGCGCTTTCCTTGTCATTTTACCATAATGAGTAACAGAACATGCCATTTATTACATTAAATTGATCCTCATTGACAGCGGATGAAGTCTTTTCCCCTGCTTAATCGCCAACTTATAATCATAGGTTTATATTCTCATCGCTTTGTTTTCTATCTATGTTTAACCAAACCTTATTTCTTAACTCTAGAAAACGAAAAATAGTGAAAAAAAGGATCAAGATCAAAACAACTTTGGATGACTGACGAGACTTCCTTTAATAATAATTAAACAATGCATGTGTAATTTGGTTGAGTTTATTAAGTAATCAAACTTAGAGCGTGTATTGCATAGAGAGAAAGAGAAATAAACAGCGAGAATAGGGGGAACACAGAGTTCAGAAAGATCAAATTTCTGACAATATTAATAATAATAAATAATTACGCTAGTAGTTTTGTATTTTTAGTATTTATAAAAAATACAGTTCATCAAGAATAATTTATTGAACAATATACTAGCCGAATATAGACAATTGAAAAACGTTCTGAAGTTGAAGAAATCTGCTGACTTGGTGTAATGTTTTTATTAAACGAAAATGTTAAAAATCGTTTTGATAACGAATGTAAAAGTAACGGGGAGGGGAAATATTAAGTTATAGCACCATTACGTATATTCTTAATAAATTTGATTGTTCCCTATGACAATCGTCGAGGGTCTTTGGCTTCTAAATTGGGGTGGCCGTCGCCCCCTACCGATTACACCCTCCTGATAATAAGACACGTCCCAATGGGGTATATCGAAAATATGAGACCTCTGGTTAATACGTACCGACAGGCGGCCAAATTTACCAAAGGGTATTTACTATTCTTGGAACAATATGAAAAATTGTGTACAGATAAAGGTCTGAATGAAATATGCCTAGTCAGGGAAGAGTGTTTTGTCGTGTAGCACGATCCCCTTTTCTTGGGGCCACGACCGAAACAAATATACCACTCTCTCTTTATTCACGGGACACCTTATAACACGCAACACAAATAAATGGGGGCCGGATAAATGGAAACGATGCCGGTTACGAAACGTCCCAAATCGAGTAACGTTTCGAATTTGGTACTGACCTTGTTCTGCTGCTCCTGCTGAGATAGAAGCTGGTCCCGGACCATCTGAAGTTGTACGATCATCTCCGAAAGCCGCCTCTCTTTTTCGAGGAGCGTTTCCCCAGTCATTGCTTGGAGGTGGTTGATCAAGGAATTGGGTTCCATTTCCTCACCGTCCAATTGATCCCCAGTCCTGGAAAAAAATTAAACAAATTAATTTATTATTGATTTTTTCTTCATAGTTAATATCAGGTCTAGTGAATGAATACATGTTATATTTGTTTGTAGATTAGCATGCATAGCTTTCCATTCGCGTATCTGTGCTGAACCAACGGCATCAGCAAACATATAAATTTTTAGAGGCTGAGAGGCGGTGAGCTTTTAGTTTAGTTTAGTTCTTCCTGCTCTGACAGTTCGCCATCTTCAGTGTGTCCTGTCAACAACCCAATCACAAGTTCACCATCCCTCAGACTGAACAGATAACTCTAACCATCAATTATATTTTTATTCCCTTCTGCTTCTTAGGATCTCAGTCCAGATGGTATTGGTTGTAACCAGCGCATCGGTCAAGAGAATATACATTTTTAAACGTTTCGTAGAAGTATGAGAGGCGATGAACCTTTAGTTTGGCCATCCTGATTTGCCAATCCCCAGAACTCTGGTCGACACCTTTCGGTGTTGGGCAATCATCAGTGAGTCTTGACACGACCAGAATAAAGGTTCATCCTCTCAGACTACACGGATAAACCACGCAATTTATTACATTTTTGCTCCCCTCAGCTCATCAGGATTTCATTGTCCGTACACTCGGGGAACATACGTTCACGATCTTACATCGCATTGTTTGTATGAGGACGAGAACGAGTTAGGACAATAGAAGAAAGTGAGTCCAGTCGTACCTAGGTACAATCAGTATAAATAAACTTAAAAGATAACACAAGTTAGTCTGAAAAGGTTGGTAATATTGGCCTAGAATCATTCAAATCATCCAATTTGTCGATGCCCTTTGCTGTAAACAAAAAATACGTCCAAAGGCTTAGATCTTACTTAAGTGAGCTTTTAATACTTTTCTCAACGATAATCTCACATTTGGGACAGAAAATTCTTCTTGATTATCAATATAATGTGCCGTATTATGTGAAGACGTAGTAAGTTAACAATTTTCCATTTTTCGTATAGATAAACTATGAAAATATCCAACGCTTGAATAAAAATGAGAGAGCCAAATATCTCCAGTTCAACGTGAATAACAGGGAAAACCTTCAAACTTTGATAGAAAAATATCGAAAATTGAAAAGTTTGGCCATCCTGATTTGCCAATCCCCAGAACACTGGTCGACAGCTTTCGGTGTTGTGCAATCATCAGTGAGTCTTGACACGACCAGAATAAAGGTTCATCCTCTCAGACTACACGGATAAACCACGCAATTTATTACATTTCTAATGTAATGTTTCTAATCTAATGTTTTCTATCCCTGGTACACATTCCTAATATTGTTAATACAATGATATTAATGATTATCTATGGACATCAATTGTATTATAACTTTACCACATTATTTTAAATCTGGTGTTAAAACATATTAATTAAAATTATCTGTCCTCATATATAGGAAATGGAAATATGTAGGTATTCAAGTAGTTCTACAATAACAAAGATAAGTTGTTAACGAATTGATGTTCTAATTTCTACGAGGATCACACGAGACGTTAGATCGAAGGTTGAAATACGAACTAGTGAATTTTTCTGGTTCAATTATTTTACATATTATCATATCCTCATTATCGACATTGTCTGGGAACATTTGATTAGGAGAAGCAATTTGATTGTCTTTTAATCTTAATAATAGTTGGTTATCATTTTGTCCATAGCCTTGGCCGCAAATTGTGTCGAAAGTAAATTAAAATTGAAACACACAATGCTTAGGTTTTCTGAGGAGGGAAAGCTACGAACTGTTCTCACTTTGACGAAAAATTGTAAAGTTGGCTTGAAATAAAAGGACTAATTTCAATAATGAACAAGTGGAGTGAATTTTGTGGAAATAAATGTTTCCGATTGGTGGATTTTTCTGCAAACTATACAACAGATTTTTTGGTGCAATTTGATCTGAAGCTCTGTGAATTGATCCTGTAATTTGGTCCTTTACGTACGTTTTGTTCTATCAGATATGTTTCCTCTTCCCGACATCTTCAGTGTTGTGTATGTATGTGAATAATCAAAATTATTAGTAAAAATTGAACATGGCGAGATTACTTATCCCCCCTTTTGTCCTGTTTTTGAAAACCTCCAGATTATTTTATTTTTTCTTCTTTTTTTACGAGGGGTTGCAATATCAGAGGTCGTATAAACCCTCAGGGTACCGGTGTTTTTGAAAAAAAGTCCATTTGTATATCGGGTTCGAATGCAGGGCCGCTGGATTTGAACCCGGGACCTTTACCTTACAGTGATTAGCGCCGTGTCAACGCCTCCATTACGGCCGCTGACCCCCCTCAGATTATTTTATTCTTCCTCCTTCTGTGTGTCTCCAGACCTGTTTTACGCCTTGCTTCTGCATTGTAGACGTTATAAAGCCAATGAAACGTTTTTCTAATCCAAACACAGCTCAATCCAAAACATCTCGAAATAGTTAGAATCTGCTGAACTTCTTTTACAAATATGAGCGAAAAACTTAGGTCCGATTTAGGTTACTTAGGAGCCTCTTCAATCTAGCACCTCGCCCAATAATGGTCTATTGTGTAGGCTCCATTATTATCTTATATCTAGAACTCTTCGTTAAGCTTCAAGCTTTTTATTAGATCCAACAGCTTTTTTGAGAGCTTCGGTGTGTATCCTTCAGAACTTCGCTTTTCCTCTTAGCTTGCTTTATCACCAACAAATTACATGTTTAGGTGTTTCTTCTTCCTGGCAATAATTACACAGCTTTGTTTCTGCTGCTTCAAGTGTGTACATATGCCTCTGAAATCTGCAGTACCCAGTACTATCATCTAGTCCTAACACGACGTAGGTTTAGTAGTTCCTTTAATAAACGTTTAAGCATGATTCTGTCCTGGAAAATACTGCCATGGAACGGAGTATTGTATATCCTGCTATTAACTATTGCTATATTAACAAATTGTCGGATTGATGTATGTTTTTGCCGATTTGGGTGTGCTACAAAAGGGTTCAGGTCCTATTGGTGTATTGATTGAAATTTTGTTGGCCAATTTTTCGACCTCCTCGTTTTTCCAAACCAATCCAAACTGTTCTGGACCCTATATTTTCGTCAATTAAAATAACCCCGCTGTCGAACAAAGAAAGATCAAATTCTGATTGTAAGTAATGGATATTTTTCTAATTAAAATCTTTCATGGGCTGACTTTTAGGATCATTCTTAGATTCAATTTTTCCTCCGCTTGTTGAGGTATTTGTATATGTTTAGGGCTAAATACTTTTTTTTATGATTAAAATAAAACATATAAAAGATTGAAAGAAACTGTGACGACAGGAAATGAACCAAAGTTCGGACTTTAGGAGGGTAGTTTGTGCAATTTGTAAGAACTGAGTTGAATAAAAAACCAGTATTAATACAGATAAAGTAGCCAATTTTTTAAGTTCTCTTAATGTGCCCTTTTATATTACGTCCAGATGTTGATTTTTTTCCTTCCGGCTGTGACGTCCCGACTAGCCTTGGCAGTGGGGTTCTCCATTGATGTCATTTACGTTGTGTATTTAAGTTTGTAGTATGAGTTTTGTGAATAGTATATCGGTAAAAATGTATCATGTGTTCAGATTCTTCATTCAAATTATTCTGTTTTTTTAATTTAAATTATTCTATAGTAGGTTTCACTAATAGATTCAATTATAATTTAAACTGATGGTAAGAAATACTTATTGATTTTTTTCCCCTATGGACAAAGAACATGATACTTGTATTAAAAATGATTGAACAAACTAATTATTCGGTATCGAATTTGAGTATTATTTTTATTATACTTTGTTTATTAAGAATCATTTCACTATTATCTGCCCAATTATTGTTTGTTGGCTTGCCTCTTATACGAATAGAAAAAATTTGAGTTCAAGACAAAGAAATAGTTTGTTTTATTTCGGCTAGTAGAAAAAAAAGAATTATCACATACAGTCGATAATCCCAACGACATTAGTAAAAAAAAGCAATAAAACGAAAATTCGATCTATTCTTTCGCTATCTCCCAATCCATTGAGATACGAGAGTGGCATTTACGAGACATTTTGACAAGCGACAACACTGTAGCAAATCTCTGTAGTTGTGTAGACGGAGCAAGGCGCCTGGATTTTTTTTATATAAACGCCTATCCTCTTTCTTTTAGTGTTACCCAGAGAAATTTTATTTGTGCAAATTGTTCGCTTATTTTTAAGTAAACGATACAAAATTTTGAAGAGTCGCTATGGAAGAGGGAGGCTGCAATTTTGTATTTATCCGTTAAAATGTTTATTAACCGATAAAAAATACCTACAAACTTAGCTGGAACGATTTAATTTCTACTGCTAATCTAATTAATTTATCAACAATGTGTTTATCGTCGAGGGAAAAACTGCTTCCGGACAAACAGAATAAAAATCCTGAATGTTCTTTTTAGACCTTAAGGCTAAACGGAATACAGATTTTCTATCCCAAACAAAATAATACGAAGACCCAATATTGCCAGAGGAATGCTCTATACTAAATACCAAAGGTTGAAACCACCAAATGACCCTATGGGCCTGGATCATTAGTCCAATGACAAGTCAGGAATGTGGTGGACCAAGGCGATCAAGCAAGTAGCATTCAAATGCCTAAGCCTTAAGATGAGGACAAAGCCAACTGCAACTTTAAACATCCGAGGAGGACTTGTAGCAACTACTCATTGGCTCCTTCAAGGACAACCATCTACACGTGGGATAGGTGTTCCAGGTGGTGTTACAACACCCGAATTCAAGTTTATCAAGTACCGAGTATCAAAAAAGGACTGAAACTAACCTTAAGGACAATTCTTTCTGGTAAATGGCTAAAAAAGCGCAGGGCGTTCCAGCAAACTATAAATCTGGGTAAATACGCTACGCTTTTCCGGTCGAAAATTAAAGAAAATTGAATACTACGCCGATAAAAGAAAGGTTTAGGACTATAAGAAGATAGATTTTCTGACAGTCATGCAGCACGTGAAACTCTAACATCATGTGAGGTGAAGTCAAAA